CAACCTTCACATTGCTTTGTTTGCTTTTCCCCAAGAACTGGGCACCTTGTCCAGATTTACAGTTCTCCTTATGGATAACCTCTATCCTAAAGGTACTACTTTCTGGAATCTTAATAATTTATAACTTCCTATAAACATTCCTTGTTGTAATGCTAGAATGTTCTAGTGTTTTAGAAGTGGTGTTGTGGTTGTAATTTTTATATCTTTTCCATTCTTGGCTTCTGGAGTTATTTGTACTTGAACTACTAAGTAGCATGTACATTACTTGGATGATGGTTCCATAGCTTCAGAGCATGATATTCTGTAATCACTAATCTTCACTTATTTTTCACTTCTATTGATACAAATTTGGCAAAAGTCTTTTTTAATTTTTGTTAGTATATTATCTGAGTTTTCTTTCTCCTTCTGCCTTTCAAAGATTATCTTTCTGACCTTACTTACATTCTGTATACATTTTGTGATTTCCTTCATTTTCATGGATTTGACTATTGGCTCTATGCAGGTGATTCTATTCATTAACTTGCCTCTTATCTTCAATCCATCATTTAGAAGTGCCTTTGAGAAATTACCTCAAAGTTAAATAGTATGTTTTCTTCTGGTAGTTTAAAAATAGTTTTTAATAGAATGAAGCATAGCACATTTGACAAAAAACTACCTTGTTTTTAATTTAATTTATTTTTTATTTCTTTCAAGCAGATTTGCAGCCTCATTCCTTATGTAATTTCTGTCAACCACTTCTCTATTAACAGCAAGCCTATTAGAGGTGGCCTGAAGAAAAGCTATCAGTTACCTTTACATAAAGGGTGCTATGGGGCCGGCCCGGTGGCGCACTCGGTAGAGTGCGGCGCTTGGGAGCACAGTGGCACTCCCGCCGAGGGTTCGGATCCCATATAGAGACCGGTCCACTCACTGGTTGAGCGTGGTGCGGGCGTGACACCGAGGGTTGCGATCCTGTTACCGGTCATGAAAAAAGACAAAAAGAAAAAAAAAAAAGGATGCTATGACATCTGCCTTTGCCAGTTCCACTGAACTAACTAGATTGCTTAATATTCACTCGTAGTACCTCTGCAGTCTTTGCTTTTCAATTTGTAATATTCTAAATATTTTTTCTTTTCAACTTGTGTTATCAGTAATAAATATTTTTAAAGTACCATTGCATCCCCGAACTGGCCAGCCACTGAAAAACAAAATAAAACAAAAGAAAAACACAAAGTACTATTGCAAAAGAAATGGAGGTTGTGTTTATAGGAGTCAAACAAAAATAATTTAAGTTGTTTTTTACAAAGCTTTGTGTAAAAAGCTTTGAATACTTGAGGATATGAATAAGACTGAGTGAACAGACAGAGGGAGGCTGTAAAAATGAGTTTATATACTTGTATATAGGGACAAGATTACAGTGAGAATAGGGAAAGTCAGCTCAGTGACCAGAAGTTGTTGAAACAAATACTTGATCAGAGTGGGAGAAGTGATGTGGGTTAGGAGCAGCTAAGAGAGTCATTTCAAGGTGAGATGGGAACTTGAAAACCAGTGGGAAGCCAGAGATGGAACTTAAAGCAGGAGTAGATAAGCATTACAGGGGAAAACAATTTTTTTTCTGAGACACTTCAGACTGATTACAGAGGAGAATGATAGAGTCCAGGGAGGAGGAAATTGTAGTATAAGTCAAAGATGAAAAATTGTCGACATAAGTGTGAAGGTTTTTTTCAATAGCAGGAAGATACTAGTATTGAAATGTGCCACCGAAATCGGTTCACCTCAGGGGAGCTAAGGTGACAGGCTGATGTCCTGGTAACAGATGGTTTCCCCTTTCCTTTCAGTAAAGTGTGAAGTAGAGCTCCCTGATAGCAAGTCAACACATATAAGAACTTTGAAATTTACTTGTATTTATTGGAATCTGCTATTTATGCTTGTATCTCTGGAGACAATCAGAGACACCTTATGCCTATGGCTAGTGCATTTTCTTCTGTATTTAAAATAAATTGCAAAGATGATAATAGTAATAAAGATCTTGTGAGGCTGGTATTTTTCAGCTGTCCATCTGCCTGTGTAGAAAACATATTCAGTAGCAAATATGGTCTTAGGTCTAACGTGGGAGGACAGGGTGAGATAAAATTCCTCTGAACCCATAACTGCAAAGTGGCTGTATGTTCTTGAGTTCCAAGGATGAGAAAACTGAGATTCATTGAAATTTTTTTAACTTGCCTCAAGCCCTGTGGGTAGTCACATTGGATCATGATTGCAGATTTTGTTTGCCTTTCTCTCCGCTCCTTTATTTCAAAATGTCCTGTAGTACCTCCAAGCAATCTTATTCTTGACATTTCCAACATCAACTTGTGTCATCTCCCCTTGGTTCTTGTTACTAGGAGTTGATGACAGTGAAGATACCTTCCTCCTTTTTCTGAATATTTTAGCACCTTGCTAATATATTTACACTCCACTATCACTATTTTTCAGCCTCAAGGATTGGAAATTCACTTTGAGCCTTTTAACATGTTGGCCTTACACTTCTTTACTACTCACTTTCAATCATTTGCCCAGCCCTGTTGATTTTACTTCTCTTCTATCTGTAATTCATGAACACTGTCACTCCTGTAGTTTAGAATTAAATTTTTTTTTGCAGGACTACTTGGTGAGTCTATTAACAGTTTACCTACCATTAATAGTTTTCTCTCTCTAGTCCAACTTATACAGTGCTACCAGATGTGTTTGCTAAATATCAGCTTTGGTATTTCGCTTCTCCATTCAGCAACTATCAGGAGCTTTTGTCTAATAAATAAAATGTCTTAGCCTGGCATTTAATAAAGCCCTCCAAGATCTGTCTCTTCAAACACAATTTCCTTTCACTGTTACCCTTCATGACCCTTTCTTTCCAGACAAACCAAATTTTTATCCATTTTCTGTGTGAGCCTCATGTTTTCTTGCACCTGCCTCTGCATTTCATCATTATTCTTTGTTCTGACAAGATTATATATGTAATCAGTCCCCATCCCCAAGTGCTAATATCTCTTCCTCTGTATGTCTTCAGTCTGCTTTATTTTTCTTATCTGCTTCTGCCACTGACTTTGGGCTCTAACTTTTCTCCACTGGCTTACTGAATGAGCTTTTTTGTTCTCCCTACCTCTACACTGCTGCCATGATAATTTTTCTCTTGTGAGAATACTAAGCTATCATTTCCCTGCTTGGAACCTTTACCCTGCTCTCCATTTGCTATAGCAAGTTCTTTACTTGGTATCCAAGTCCTTTCATGGCATTTTAATGTATTTCCCACCGGTCGTACTTCTTGCTATACCCCTTTCTAGACTATCGATATCTTGTTCTGTATGCACATGGTAAGTGGCTGTATACCTCCTTGCAATTCTACTCTCTCCATGAATATTTGCCCCTGCTTTTTCTGACAAACTCCTAGTTCATCCTTTTACCTGCTGTTCAGATATGACCTCCTGAAGCATTTCCTGGAGCACCCCAAATAGAGTTAATCTGCCCATTTTCTTTGTAAGTGTTGCTATGGTAGTGACTTCCATGCAATTCAATAGTTGCTGTGGTCATGGTATTTTACATGCATGACTTTTATCTCAACTATGTGCATGGGGCCACCTTAGATCTCTAGAATCTAATAAATATTTATGTTTAATTTGGTTGAATTGAAATAAACCTTGACATATCCAGGCCTAACGGATGCTCAGAGTCTCATCCCAATGGAGTAGTCTTTCCCGATGTCCTTCTTATTCATCCCAACTGGAAAGGATCACATCTTCCTCTGACATCCAGAGCACATTGTCAATCCTACTTTTTTGACACACAAAACTTGCATTTTGATGATTGGGAGGATTTTTTTTTCCTTCTAAATTGTAAGCTCTGTTAGGGGAAAACTTATTCATCTTTCATCTCATAACACTTATTACATGTCCTTTGCAAATATTAGAAGCAAAATAAATATGGGTAGAATAAATGAATGGATACTTAAATCCTTTAATACTCATTGCATGGAAAATCAAAGAAATTGATAATTTTAAGGAAACATTGGAATAATTTATTCTAAATTCATTTTACATATCAGGAAATCAAATTCAAGAGGTTCTGTCTTATTTTCAAGGTCTCAGAACTGAGGAAGGAAAAGTTAGAATAAGAAACAAAGTCTCCTCATTTCAAGGCAACAATTTTATATATTTTAAATTATACTACTCTGCCTCTTCAAGTACATAAGGTATCTGTTAATCTTTTTTCATGCCTTCCATGGTATATTATTACTTATTTTTTTAAGTTATAATTATGTATATTATACAGAGATCTTTTCTAGATAAGCATTTAAAAAAACAATAAATTTTCAACTTTGATAAATTATCTTTTTTAAGAAAACTATCATAATACCCTGGAAATCACACCAGCTTTATGAAAAAGATACAGAACTATCATAAAACAAGATTTTTACATTAAACATAGCCATTGTCATTTCTAAGAAAGGACCTTAAGAAGAAAACTATAAAGAGATTTGCTTTTGCCCTAAGAACTCATTTAGAAAAGGACCACATATTCAATAGCAAATTGTTTCATATTAAAATTAGTACAAGTTTGTGATTAGTCATACATCTAAATGTAAATCATAAATAATACCTATTTTAGTTAGGTATTCTTATTTACACAAAAGTTTATTAATACAAGGGAACTTTCAAAAGTTCATGGAAAAATAGAATTGAAAGATACTACAAATCTTTCCGTGAACTTTTTGAAGTATCCTTGTACAGTTCTTTGATTTTGCATATTTTTCACATGTATACAGCAAACTATATAAATGTGCATGGCATCAATTTATCATGTTTGCCATTTTATACAGATAATTTGATTTCCTCTGCTTGAAAAATTGACAAACATTATATGTGTTAAAGGTTAACATTGAGGTATAAGCAAAATCATGCAATTTTTTCGGCCCCTATGAAACATAACATTCTCAGAAAAACTGGAGCATGGTTTCTAACTGTCTTTTAATGTTTTATATTTGAAAGGTAAATAAGATTTGTGGCCATCCAGTAAGAGCACCCACACAAAGCCCTCGTTGTTCCTTTGATCCGAGCAAAGAGAAGCATGGAATGAAGATCTCTACAAGAAATGGTGAAGAGACACTTGCCAACAGAAGAAAGTAAGACATTTGTTTTACAACCAGAAAGAGAAAAGAAAGTAAGCCATTAATTTTACAACAGAATAGAACGTATTCAATTAAGTAGAAGTAAATTCACTGTGGGAGAAAAAAATACGTCAAAATTCATTAACTTTAAAATTCAGTGGCTCTACCTGTTCCATTAATTTGAACGATAGGTTCAACCTGTAAGACCAGTAACACTCTCTGTGATAATGGAAATTTTCTATAATATAGTATGGCAGGCTCTGTAAACATGTAACCATTGACGTTTAAAATGTGGTTTGTGTGACTGAGGATTTAATTTTTAATTTATCTTATTTTAGTTAATTTTAATCTAAATTCCACATACGGCTAGTAGCTTGGACAGTACAAGACAGAAAAAGGATGCATTTTCTTAATGTGATAAGCATTACTGAAAGTTTAGCATCTGGTAAAAAAAGAGTTTTCCATATCTTTTTCCTAGAATGCTGAAAATGGCTATGTATTGATGCAAGGTGATAAACAATTAGTAGAGCTTGCTTATATAGCTCACGTTTCTGCCACTATACCCATCATCATTTCACATATTAAATTAAAGCTTTCATTAGTGTCCTTTTGTTTGATCCTTGGTGTTTAAACCAAAACACTCTTAAATCTGGAGGAAACATTTATTTTTGTGTTTATTTGACTGGTGTATGTCCTGACAAATACAACATTATCAATCAGTGTTTTTGGAATTGAACTGAAATTTAGAATTTTGTGTTCACTTATTAATTCAAATAATTATTTCTAATAATACCTTATGGAGAACTCAGCATTTTACATAATTTTACTCTCTATAGTCTAAAATGTTTCTTAACATTTTGAAATAGCACACTTAATTGCTTCATTCTTTCCTTAGATGAGCTATAAGCATGGGATAAAGATCTGGGCTATTAATGGCTGTTTGCTACAGCTAAAAAGAATTAGACCTTTGTTTTCATATAAAGTTCTTTTTATTTTTAAACACCTCTATTGATCCAGAGTCATTTTTTGCTTTTGAGAAATAATTATTGCATTTGAGAAATTATTAATTAATTATTACTAAAATTTTAATAAATTAATAATTTTAAAATAAATTAACAAATTATTAATAAATTAGTAATTAATTATTTTTTCTAGGGTTGTTCTTCTAATAAAACCCAGCTAAGGAAGATCTTAAGTTCTTAAAGGTCATGTATATTTCACCACTAAACAACCCAGTTGTTGGAAAATGAAAACAAAACCTAACATAAGCACTTTCAGTATCTGTTCACTCAACATTAAGTTAGTGCAGGTGAAATGTTACAAAATGGCTCAGGAACAATGAGGGGCTCATATGAGTAAAAAGTTTTAAAATTATCTCTCCTGGCCATTTAATAGCCCTGACCAGGCAGCCACCATTAGCCATTGCCCATGAATCAGGGTGGGTCCATCACAGGGCAATCTTATTGCACGCAAAGTGAACAAACAGAAAGACTCCACTTGAGCCCACTTAAACATTTCATTTTTACATTGTTTTTTTTATTGCCACTCCTGTCAGGGCTTAATTGCCATGACAGTATATTTCTGCTTGTTGCCTATATATTGTGCAGATTTATCTGTAAAACAGACCTGAATTTTTTAAAAATCCCTTACAACTGATAACTCTCCATGAGATCATAAATTTCCATTGAAGTATGGGAGCAATCTTGCAGGAGTAGGTGCCAAGTGAGTCTGGACTATCTTTTCATGCATCTTACTTGTGCTTTCTCTACCCACTTGAGCCTGATTTCCAATAGATCATGTCCACTTGATGATATATTATTTCTATACAAGCCTAATCTTATAGCCTGACAGATCAGATAGGACTTAATTAATCATGGGCATCTTGGGTTGCACAGTCACTTGCTAGCTCATGATCAAGTGTGTAGTTTCTACTAGGGTTCAGTTCAATTGCAAACCAACTAAACAACTAACCAACCAACCAACCAACCAAACCAACTAAGAAACTTCAGGTGCCATTAAATGGGTGAAATGGGTCATCCAGACTGAACATCACAGTAGCTTGCAAAAGAGCAAGCTACAGAGTCTTTTCTTTCTCACACAGAATCTCTTTTGGCTACTCTTGTAAATTGGTTAGATCAACGCACCCAAGTTTATTTGCTGTAATATCCAAAGTAATCCAAAAAACACTTCTTGAGTGTTAGGTCATGTTAAGTGCAGATATTTACCTTTTATGTTAGAAGACTATACCAATAAGACCTAGACCACATTTAGAAACCCTACTGAGTGGCAGCCCCTCCCACCACCAGAGCAGGAGGCAAGTGAGTGTATCACAACCAGGGGCCCAGCCAGAAACCACGGGCAGCTCCTCCTACCACCTCTGCAGGAGGTAAATGAACATCCCACTAATGAAGAATGCCACAAACACAGTTTCCATGCAGGTGGTCCACCTCAGCCACTGCCACAGCTACCACTGACACAGGAATAGTTCACCACCATGGTAGCAGCCAAGACCACCTTGCAGACAGCCCACTGACACTCAACTACATGGACACAAGGAGAGCCACTGGCAGAGCCTACAAATAAAGGAGGAATCCTTTCTTCTCAATGTCCACTCTGGAGTAATAGAAGAAACTACTCCTCTACCAGATGGCCAGACATCAATGAATAGATACTAGGAATACAAATAAAGAAGAAAACATGACACCACCAAAGGAGTACAGCAATTCTTAAGTACCAGCCCCCATAGAGCAGGAAACCCTTGAAATATCTGAAAAAGAATTCCAAGCAATGATCTTAAGAAAACTCAAAGAGATGAAAGAAGACTCAATTAGAGAAAACAATGAAAATGATAAAAAATCCAGGATATGAAGGAGGAAATTTATAAAGAGATTAATACATTAAAGATAATGTAGCAGAACTCCTGGAACTGAAGAATTCATTCAATGAAATACAAAGCAAAACTGAGGGCTTAAGCAGCAGGCTAAGAAGAATTTTAGATCCTGAAGATGGTCTTTTTAAATAACCCAGGTAGACAGAAAAAAAAGGAAAAAATAATTTTTAAAAAATGAAGAAAATCTGGGCCAGCCCGTGGCTCACTCGGGAGAGTGCGGTGCTGATAACACCAAGGCCCTGGGTTCGGATCCCATATAGGGATGGCCGGTTAGCTCATTGGGTGAGCGTGGTGCTGACAACACCAAGCCAAGGGTTAAGATCCCCTTACCGGTCATCTTTTTAAAAAAAAAAATGAAGAATATCTACAAGAGCTAACAGACAACCTGAAGCACATAAACATCCAAATCATGGGTATTACAGAAAGGGAGGAGAAATGAAAAAACATTGAAAACCTATTCAATGAAATAATGACAGAATATTCTCTAGGTATAGGGAGAGACCTTCAGATTCAGGAAGCCCAAACGTCCCCAAACAGATCCAATGCAAAAAGATCCTGTCCAAGACACGTTATAGTCAAACTGGCAAAGCTCAAAGACAAAGAGAGAATTCTAAAAGCAGCAAGAGAAAAATGCTAAGTCACCTATAAGGGAGCCACCATCAGAATAACAGCAGACTTCTCAACTGAAACTCTGCAGGACAAAAGAAAATGGAATGATTTATACAAAGTACTAAAAAAAAATAATTGCCAGCCCAAAATGCCATACCTAACAAGGCTTTGCTTCAGGAATAAGGGAGAAATAGTGTATTTCCCAGGCCAACAAAAACTGTGGGAGTTCACTACCACATGACCAGTACTGCAAGAATTTTTCATGGAAGTCCTACATCTGGAATCCAAAAAACAATAATCACTATTATGGATACACAAGAAAGAATAAAACCTGCTGTTATATCAAAAATGCAAATGAAAAAGATAAAGAAAATAAATCATACCACCTCAAAAAACCAACAAACATTGAAGATCAATAATAAAAGAGCGAAGAAAGGTAAAACAAGATATTTAAAACATCTAAACAAAAAGCAATAAAATGCCATGAATAAAACAATACCTGTCAATAATAACCCTAAATGTAAATGGATCAAACTGCACATTCAAAAGACACACACTGACTGATTGGACTAAAAAGCTGGATCCAATTATACACTGTCTTCAAGTGACCCTCGTTACCTGAAAAGATATACACAGACTAAAAGTGAAAGGATGGAAAAAGATATACCATACAAATAGAAATTAAAAAGAAGCAGGAGTAGCTATTCTTATACTGGGTAAAATAGATGTTTAACCAAAATCCATAAACAGACACAAAGAAGGCCACTTTGTAATGATAAAGGGATCTATCCAGGAATAAGACATAACAATCATAAATATGTATGCACCCAATACGGTAGCATTCAGATATGTAAAGCAAACACTATTAGAGCTAAAGAAAGAGACAGATCCCAATATGATAGTAACTAAACACCCCTCTCTCATCATTGGATGATTTTTCTAGGCAAGAAATCAACATAGAAACACAGGATTTAAACCACACCTTAGAACAATTTGAAATGGCAGAACAGTTCATCCAACAACTACAAAATATACATTCTTCAGTACATGGAACATTCTCCATGATAGGCCACATATTAGGTCACACATCAAGCAAATTTTTAAAAAATTGAAATATTTTCAAGTATCTTTTCAGACCACAACAAATTAAACCTAGAAATTAATTACAAATGAAACTCTGGAAACTATACAAATACATGGAAACTAAACAACAGGCTCCGGAAGGACTCATGGATCCAAGAGGAAATTAAACAGGAAATCAAAAAATTTCTCGAGTTAATGAAAATAAAGACACATCATAACAGAATCTGTGTGATATGCAAAAGCAGTACTAAAAGGGACGTTTATTGCAATAAATGCTTACATCAAAAGAATAGAAAGATTCAAATAAACAATCCAACATTACACCTCAAAGAACTAGAAAAGGAAGAACAATCCGATCCTAAAAGAAGTACACCAAAAGATATAATTAAGATCAGAGCAGAACTAAATGTAATAGAGACCCCAAAAATGATTC